ATAACAAAAAGAAAATTAAAATAGTAAAAATGATTTTAGAGATAGTTAATAATAAACTATAACTTGTAAAATATGTAAGAAAGTGAATAAATATTTATATGAAAGAGGAATTAATCTAGCTAACCGCTTGAGAAAGATTTCTCTTTAAAAGTCTATTTTATGATAAGCTAATTTCTTTCTAATTAGTTGCTTATTTATGTATTTAGAAATTCAAGATAAATTTAATAATGATCAAGAAATATTTTGAATAGCACATTCTTTTCTAATTGAATATTAAATCTGTCTAATATATCTCAATTCAAATCACTCATCAATAAATATATAAACTTGGTTTTCAATATAAATATCTTCAAAAAGATGTTTATACAGATGGATATGAACAGTCTGATATCATTACCTATTATTAAATTTTTCTTTAAGAGATTGCTAAACTTAATTAACTTATATCCATATGACTTGATAAAGATTACAAGATAAGAAGTTTCCTGCATTTGAATAATAATAAGAAAGAGTATATATAAATAATTTATAATAAATTAACCTTCTATACTTATAATGGATCACATATTATATAAGGTTCTGAAGAAGAATAATCATTGCAAAAAAAAGAATTGAATCTTAATGTATACATAAGTAATTTTTTAACAAAGATAATAAAATTACTTAAAAATGAATAAAAAGAGACATGTATAATAATAATACTTGATACTAACTAAGATAGATTTTAAAACTTCAGAAAACTTCTTGAACAAGTTATACAGGTAATAAATATCTTTAAATAAATATATCTAAAAAATGTGAATATATTTATCTTTGATAATATTATTTTTCATACAACTTTCACTAAAGATACTCTTGTAATTTCAAAAATGAATCTTAGTCCAGAAGGATTAGTTCTAAAAATATGAGATATAACATAAAGTGACAATTATTAATTAATAGTTATTAAAGAAGATTACTTTATTTATAATAAGAAAACAAAATTCAATATCAACTTATATGGTTAGCCTAAAGAAATCCAGTAGATTCTTAGTAAAAAAAGATTATGACAAGAGAAAATAGTACTAAAGTACACTTTGTGCAAGAGAAAAAAGACAAATTTTAATATTATTGATTGTTATGCATATTATTTAATAGTCAATTAGCCAGATTTTCTTGTGTAGTATAATCAAATTCAATAAGAAATCAAATCTCATAAACATAAGATAATTTTATTATCTTTAGTTATTCTTTTCTAACTAGTTTAATCTTGATAATATTATTCATTCTTAGGTTATATTTTACCTTAAGTTTTATTCTGAATTTAACTATATTAAGATATACTAAAGAATGATCAAGAAGTATACTTGATCTTATTGTGAGTACTCATCATCAAAAATCAGAAAAATAGTCTCTCAAGTATTTGATTCTATTTTTATAAAGAGAATTTATTTTTTTACTAGGCTGTTATTTAGGTAAATAAATATTTATTATCATAGTTTAACTGAAAAAGTAGTAGAATATATGATCAGGAAGTATAAGAAACATAAATTAATCAATAAAAAGATTATGAATCAGGTTAATGAGTTATTAAATTGATAAAGAGAAATGAGTATAATGAAAAGTGAAGAGTATATTTTGCTATATCTGATCAATAAATATTAAGAATATGACAGATATTTTTATTTTTTAGTATGATTATTCTTATTTTACTATAAAAAGTATTCTTTACTTACTTTATCTATATATAGACTAGCAGGTATTAATTAAATAACATGATAATTTAACTTCTGTTAGTCTTATTATAGAGATTAGCATTAATTTATTATTAGTTACATGATTGATTACATTATTATATAATACTAGGATTAGAGTTAAAATTTAACATTTCATATAATAAATTGGATATCTTATGCTATTCTATATTATAGTTCCCAGTAGAGATATTAATCAGTTCTTAGAAATTAAGTTCTAGATGATCCTTTAGTAGGATAATCTCAATCCAGTTCCAGTACTAGGAACTATCAGTCTTATAGTTCTTTTAATCATGTGATCAAGCATAGAGCCAAGTCTTATTTAAGAATAATCTGAGATGATTCTATAAGATCATCCTATCTATAATAATACAAGATATATTATTAATAAGATTAATAAGATTAAATATTTTTGATATTAAAAATTATTTTTTATATTGCAATAATTATAATAAAATACAAAAAAATAATTATAATTTAATATAAAATGATTATGATATAATATAAACATAATTTTTTATTTTTTTCACAAAATTCTATATATTTATATAAAAAAATCCAATAAAAAGTATTATTTATGCTTGAAATACTATCAATAAAACAGATTTTGTTCCTTATTAATGATAATAAAATACTACTTAACAAAGATCAAAATGAGAGTTTCATATTAACAAGTAATAGCTCAAGTAGTATAATAAGTAATAAAATAAATAATAAAATAAATAAAAGTATAAATAATAATTTTTCAGAAAAATATAAAAGAGCTATTATATATAATTATATTGATAAGAAAACTAATATCATGAAGTTTTATAAATTATATTGTACTTGTTTTTTAAAGAATACTATAATATTAATAATTACTTGATATTTTGATTTAAAATATCATAATACTTATTTTATAATAAATTAGTATATTCTTAATATTTAACATTTTCACTTATATAGATTTAAAGATTAAATCAATGTTAATAATATTAATAATAAGCTTATATACTAGATTATCATAAATTAATTACTATTTATACTTGTAGATAGTAAGTAATTTAAAACTTTTATTAATATACTTAATGAAAAATATTTATCTTCTTGTTAATAAATAATTATAACATAAATAAGTGATAGCTTTAATAATTAATATATTTAGTTATAAATATATCTCATTTGATAATCTGATAAGTTTTTACTAATAGCAAATATTTAGATAGTATATAATATAGAATTATATTTTAATATTATAATATACTGAATTAATATAACTAGCAAATGCAAATTTTACTTCTTAATATTATTCTATTACAAGAAATATATATAGTTAAGAATATAATTTATAATATACTTAATAATTTTATAATTAATAATTAATTTTTAAATATTATTACTAATAATAGAACAAATATAATTAAAATAAATCATTTATTATATAATTAAATTAATTAATAATTTGAGAATTCAAGTGTTATTTACTTATATTATATTATATATATTATAAATCTTAATATATATATAAGATTATAAAAGATTATATCAGAAATCAAAAAAGCACATTTTTTTTTTAGCAAATTATATAATATATTACTACTTTTGAATAATATAAAAAAAATTGCCAGTTTATTAGAAGAAAACTTTAAAATATTAGAAATTGATATATTTATCTATTAAAATTCTATATACTATATGCTTTAGTAATTTAAGAAAATCAAGATAATAATAGATATTCTTATTATCAAGTATCAAAATCTTAAAAATATTTATTTGATAGATACTGAATATAATATATTAAAAATAAGTATTATATATATATATATTATAAAAATATATAATTAATATTTATATATTATTTACTTTAAAATATAATTAAAATTCTCTGACTAATAAATAACATAATTAAATTATTATCTAGTTCATCTTATCTAATACTTAGTAATATATATATGATAATGATAAGTTTATATATATATCTTGATTGAAATAATATTAATATAATTAATAGTCAAGCTATAATTATATATATAATAAAAGAAAAACTTGAAATTTATTGATTCTTACTTTATGAATTATTTATAATTATCACTTTTCTCAATTTATATATTAAATTTTTAGTATTTACTCAAGATAAGCAGTTATATACAAGATCTATTTTATAAGATATATATGATAAATACAATCTAGATAATATATAAGTACTATTATTTAGATTAATCTTAATTCATAATATATTTTACACTCTTATTTGAAGTATAATATTAAATAATTAATATAATACTTACAAGATTAAATAATATTTCTAATTTTTATTAAAAGTTAATTATATTAATCCTCTTAACTGATAGAAATTTTATTTTAATAATTATCTAATACTTATACGTATAGTCTGAAATTATCTCATAATTTTAATATCTAGTATTCTCTTAAAATTAACTTTTAGTATAATAAAATATACAATCAATATAATTCAAAATGGAATTAAAGGTAAAATAGCTTATATTTTATTTTATCTTAAGAGTTGAATTATCAATAAATTTTTTTTAATATATAAATATTTGATTAGTATGGAGGTAATAGTAATAATAATTATAATTATAATATTACTTATTTTTTAATAATAAAAATATATCTGACTATTATAACTGCTCAGAATTTGATTATTATAGTAATTATATTACTTTTTGTGATGATGAGAATAATAGGTCTAATTATTATAATAATTGTAATTTCTTTAATGATTGTAATGGCAGTAATAATGATAAAGATATATATAATTATCATAATCTTTATAAATCTGATTATTATTATAATTATAATTATAATAATATTATTAGTTTAGTTGATATAATAAAAGAATTAAATAAAATAAGTAACATATTTATTTGATTTTTATAATATAAACAATATTTATGTATTCTATTTTGATAAATAAACCAGTTATACTCATATAAAACTAGCTAATTACTAAGTTCTAGATGGTCTATAATATTCTTAGACATGATGATAATACTAATTACTTCAGTATATCCAATACATATTCCTATACATGAAAATTTATTTCTGTATCTAGGTTCAAGCTCCATACTCTAGCAGTTGTCTTTTGATCTAAACATTAAAGTTAATCTGTTCATGATAATAACTATCAATTATGATTCATATAAATCAAATCAATAATTTTATTATTATAACTGATAATTTGTTTGACGTATTTTAAGTAATAATTCTAATAGTTAATCATAACTCTAATAAGCATTATAGCAAGATTCTTTACTGAAGAACCTAATTACCAGCGTATACTATATTTGGATTATCCAAGCTATAAATTAGATCCTGATCCGGTCCCATTTTAGATCCCGGATCAGGTCCTAGAACGGTCCTTGGATCTTGATCCGGTCCAGTCCTGCCTAGGATGGGCGGTCCTTGGACCAGATTGGACCGGATGGACCATTTAACATCTCTAAGCTCCGCTATATTGTATTAATAAAGCAATCAGATGTTTTTTCTCTGATAATTGTTTTTGTGCGTGATAGTAGAGATGATTCCCTCCAAATTTATTTGATTTTTTCTTGGCATTATTTGGGCGAACATTTTTAAGGATTTGTTCGCTGAAATTTCTATTGTGGAACAGCTCTTAAAGAATGCCTTTACAAGGCATGAGCTCCGCTCTGGCATTTTTCGACGAACATTGTGGACGTAATGCTAAATCGGATTAATAATCGAACCATGTGTACATCAACGTGGCATAATTGATGATTATGCACGGGCTGATGACGAAGCGGTAAATGAGTATTATTTGGAAAAATCGGCGAAATATAAACTGTTTTGGTTTAATTGGTACCAACTTATTTTTAAACTTCATAATCATTCGTGGTCAATGCGATGACCAAAGGGTCTGATGCGATAGCATTATTATCCTCACTTTGTGAGACAAGATGGATAGATCAAGGAACTAAAATAAGCGGTATATTTTCATTTCCTATTGAGAGAATGCGGGTTAGTTCCGTATCCACAAAAACTCTGATGCAATAAGCTAAAAATATAAGGTTACGAGAAAACTAAACTTAGTTCCTGAACCTATTAATGCAAAAATAACCATACGTAGTTTGAATATGAGTCAGAGACTCTGCTCCACATATTAATTTATATGATTTAGGATTTAGGAATGAGGATCAAGAGTAGGCTATTACAAAATGAAAATTAATTAGGTTTAGTTAGAAGATATTATTCCGCAGTATTCTCTGCAATACATACATGTAATTTTATTTTTATACAGATAATAAATCAATAGCGCTTTAGCACGATTTTCTACATGGCTATTTTTTCGTGTGATGTGGTGAATGTGGGATGCGAAGTGAGTATATCTAATATTTCATCGATCAAGTTTCACTGCAACGAAGTTATCGATTCAGAATTTGAAACGCAGTACCATTCTTTCGGTACCAATTATATAGTTCGTCATCATGTACTCAATGAATTTTATATAATAAACCCCTTTGTCGAGTCAGGATCATAACTTCATCGGGATAGCGTAAAATTCTTTTTACTGTTAAATTAAGGAGCCGTTGATTAGATTTTCGTAATGCGATCATATTAACATAATTCCCCCCAAAAGCGTATACCAAAATCGATCCTGCAAATTATATAAAATGGTGATGTCCCTGTTAGTGAATCCTTTTATCTGCCTTGTGCAAGCAAAACGAAAAAATCAAGCGAAATAATCAAACTTACTATTATTTACATCATTGATATTAATAATCAAACGAACTTGTATTTTCTGTAAAGTAATAATAAGGTAAGTTGGTTTGTTGCTCGGCTAGCTATGTCATCACGAGCAAAGAAATAAACTTGATGCTGGGACTCGCATTAAATGGCCTAGGATCCGCGTACTCACTCCCTCTTTGATAGCATCATATATTTCACTTATTTCCAAAACTTTATTTGATATTGAATTCGCTATACAACGTTAATTACATTTAGTACATTAAATTGTGTTAAAATATATGATTCTTGCTAATATTCTACACAATCTAAAGAGAACCGTGGGAATTTTGTACGTTTGCATAGATCTTCACCGTCAACAAATTTTCTTTTACTACTTTCACGTTCATCGATAATACATTTTGCAATTATTGGTCCCACTCCATCTATAACTCTTAATTCAAAAAATTTTGCTGAATTAACACATACCTTATCATGAGCTTAAAAAAAGAGGATTTTGTGAATAAATCGAGAAAAGAAACACCGAATTCTTTAAAGCTATATTATATAACTTACCAGCAGTAAATTGGGCCCGAGATGAATATATCTTTCCATAAAACTCAATAAAATTATTTTTGTCAACAATTGCGCATCTTGTTGGTAGTAGGGTTTTGTTAAATGTGCTCGAACAGTTTGACAGGATTATCAACAGCCAGTTATCCAACCCAATCTTTCTTGCGAAGTCCTTAACTTTATTATATTCTTTACTGATCAACTTATCGTTAATTTTTTGTGGATTCTCTGATTCCAGGTCTCGCCATTTCATTTGTAATGCCAATAACATTGGTTGCCCGCGATTGATTATTAGAAAAGAAAATTCATCACACCCTGCACCTTCACCATTTTTATAAATCTTATTATTATCATTATGTGAAATTTCACATGATTGACCATTAGAATCTAAAACATTATCATCGAATGGGTATCGTTTACTAAGATAATGCACTTGAACTGAATTATAATCAGGAATATCCACATCCACGTCCATATCTACATCTGAATACAATGCTCCCTTTAGCAGTTCCTTTAACTTTATTGTTTTGTATCCAAGTACTGAAAGTAAGCACATGCGCAAGGCCCAAAAATTAACATTGAAGTTTTCCCATTGTTGCCAATAAAATTGTTCCTCAGGATTAATCATCAAATTCCAAAATTTATAAATTGATCGATCACCAGAATTTTTTACCAAAAGCCACACCCAAATATATGGGAGACGTATATAAAACCTTGTACTATCAACTGGTTCAAGCGTCAAAATGCCAAGGGATTTCAACATTTTGTATGAGACATACTGATTTTTATATTCATCCGTGTAAATACCATCGTTTTCATCGACAGATCTTTCTAAAATTGCATTCGCAAGCACCGGAGTGATTTGGCTTGCAAAAGTTTTGAAGTCATAGCGTGAATGTAGCTTTTCCTCAAGTAAGTGCATAATATCCACTAAATCGATATCTTCCAATTTATTTGTTTTCGCTTCACCCCAAATTGATTCGTAGAATATCTCCAAAGCACGCACCTGACCACCTATATCGGCAATAATACGTTTGAAAAGATTATTTTGATAGACAAAGGTTTCATCAAATCCAAGGTCACACGCAATTAATAGCATATGAGATGTATCCAGTAATTCTAATGGTAACTGAAGAGCTTGATGCAAGGATTTGGTAATTACTGACTGGAGTGGACCCTCAATTGTTCCTGCTAAGATTGGAACGAAAAAAATTGGCCCCGAGTCACAACTCGTTGTGCCAATACTAGCTACAAGACAACGAAAAGCTTCCCGATTTATGTCATATAGTTTGTTGACCTCATCGATTCCAACAATAATTGCAAGTTTTCTCATATTTCCTCTACGCTTGCTTTCATAAATAGCTCGTAAAACAACACTCAGACCTAACTGCTTAGCATTTTTTCCAATATTTCGTGCGAACAAGTTGTAGGGCACGCTTTCATCGCCATGTACAAAGTAGGTGTATAAAATCCTCAGTGCTAACGAAGCTTCTGCACCAATATCCACATCAAAATCTGAAAATGCAGATCCATTTCCATATGTAATGTTCAGAAAAATTGCTTCTCCTAGTATAGATTTAATTTCATCATCATTTGATAATTGGGCTTTTTCGCGAATAATGTTGCAGATCTCCTGCAAAAATCGACTTTTTCCTGTACCAGGACCGCAACCAAGGAATGGAATTGGGTGAAAATTACGATCTTTTTTTGGATTTGCACTACAATAGTTTCTAAAACGGTTTAGAATCCCATAACTATTGGCTCTGTTGCCATACCAGAGGGTATTTATGGTGTTTTCACGACCACATAAAGTAAATTGGGCACCAAATGATTCAACAAGCAATGCTGGTTTCGCTCCAGCCACTCCAGTCGGGCTGTAGTTCTGTATCCATGCTAAAATCGAATGCGGATCTTCCAAATTAACTTGAGGTACGGCTATAACAAATTTAAAGACATAAAATTCAGATAACAAGGTTAGTCACAGAATATTAACGGGGTGGAAAAGAACGAGACTCGTCCACCGAGCAAGCATTTAATTGGTTCTTGCAAAATATTGGGAGACACTTACCAGTGGTGACAGGTGGTTGTACGATGATGCGGATGTTCTTCAAGTCACTATACGCAAAAATGTCACCAAAATCATCAAATGGAGTCAACCGTTTTCCTCCAAGATTTTGTATAATAATATTTTCATCATCTATGTCACTTCTGGTTTCAAGTGGTTTCAATTTTTTAACATTTTCTGCATCGCCAGGAATATTCACCTCCCATATATCCAACTTGTTGGCGTCAAAACCTGTGAAATCGTGCTTATTCTCTTCATAAATTATTTTCCTGAGTTTTGAAATACTCATTCCTGCTTGGCCTTCAACTTGAAAGGATCTCCCAACTTCGGTACCCACCACAAAACAAAAGGCCATGATATCGGTGGTATACCTGCAAATGCGTTAAATCGAGAGTTAAAACGGGATTTAAAATAGATTTTCCAGTAAGTACAAATAAAGACCTTGTTAAAGGACGACCTTTCTTTCCATTCATTTTAGTATATACCGTAAACTCTCGAATTTAAGCAACCCTCGAGAATAAGCAACCCTCCCCCCCTTCAAGTTCAAAAGTCTTAAAAAAGTTAAATAAGCAACCCCTTTATCAAAAACTAGATTAATACAAAATTTGCAGTTCGAAAGTTTGGATTTGGGAGGACAGGGGTATTTGAAATTTTTCACATTGATCAATTCGATCTGCGTAATGTTGCGATGCATAATTCGATGTTACGCACAAGGACTCTCGAATTTAAGCAACCTCCACAAAAAATCGATCAAAAAATGATGACGTAGGGGATTGCTTAAATTCGAGAGTTTACGGTAATTTGACTCGGATATTTTCAAGTTCAATAATGTTTGCACTTACCCTCCTAGCTTTGAACATCCAACACAGGCAGTACTTTTTTTAATCATAGACCGCCTACTGTAGTTCTAGAACTCAACACAAGCAATTACATTATAAAAAAAACAATACCACAATCAATGGTCTTTAAGTCAATTTCAACTCCCGCTATCTCAACTACATGTGTAAATTATTGTATTGTTAAAAATTCCAACATTAATTTCCTATATAAAAAATCTATCTGAACCTTGTTATTAAAGGTTCGGACATCAATTGTATTGGGAATAGCGGAATAGTAACGATTTCATCAGAATCTTCTACACCAGTAGGATTCTGTAGCAACAATAATTCGCAAAAAGCTCTTGTAAAAACTGACTTCCTTTCCTGTAGCTCATTTGGTAATGGAACTTTTAACGGTATTGGCCAGCCCAATGAATCTAATGTGTGTTTGAATTTCCTAATACATGTAATAGAGAATATTATATTTAAAATTTACAAACATTAAGAGCAAAATATATTTACTTGAAATTGTTATCCAAAATTTCACTTCTGTATTTTTACATCCATTTTGGCAGCGCTATTAATTACTATCACTGGAAATTTTTCCATAAAAGTAATTACCACCACACCTAATAACAATGGTCTTAAGTGCTGAGCCATTTCTTCTCATCTTTCTGCTTAAGTTTGATTTTATTTTTTTTATTTTGAATAATAATAATTAGTTTAAAATTTTAATTTTAACATGTAACAACACTAGCAAGCGATAGAATGTATTTAGACATCAATTGATTATTATGAAAGAATACTTGTATTTCGAATTTAAACTACACAGATCATAATCCAGCATAGAAAACATATCGAATGAAAGAAAATGAAAGAAATTATTTGACAATTAAATGAGAAAATTTATAAAGTATATGTCGAATTCTTGAGTTCGATCTATTAATCATTATTTAATTGACCATTCTTTGTAATTACTTGAACAGTTTTTTTGTAAAATCCTTTGTCGTTATATTAATGAAATAAATCCAAAAATGAATATTCGCGTAACAAAATTTATTTTGCTCAATAATTACATGTTTCCAATTACCGTATTTGCCCCCAAAATAAGCACCCCCGAAAATAAGCACAAATGCCCTTAGTTTTCAAATATAGGTTTTTTAAGAATAAGCACGTCCAAAAATAAGCACATATTATATTTTATTAATTAGTATCAGAATCAGTGGCTGAATCATCAATAAGTTGATTTATTTTTATTTTCTTCACCATTTAATATGAGCATATGTATGTGTTTCCGAGATATAAGGTTTCTTTTGCTGCGATACGTGAATAAAGTCCGGAGTTGTGCAATACATTTGCGACGGTTGATAAACTACAAGTGAGGCCTAA